GTGTGTGTGGTGCTGCTAATTTCTTGGTTCCACATAATTTTCTATGCTGAGTTCATTTTGATTGTGGGTTTTCTTGTCATTACATTTCTGTTGTGTTAATTAATGTTTACTAAATCTGTTTTTCCTCTTATTTTACATTATGTTGACTTTTAAATGAAGGTTATGGAAATTCTTGTGAGGTTACTGAGTTCAAAGTCTAGAAGAGGGCTGGCTAAGTTTTAGCTGCTTGGACTCTACCACAGAGCTCTGTGCACACTTGTGTATACACTGCAACAGTTTCTAGAAGTCTGGACAACATCACTCTTGGTGAGAAAGACCTTTCCTGTCTCTGAGCAAAAGATCTCTTTCTAGGGGTAGCCAGGGGTACTGAGGTTTTATAAGAGAATAATTCCTTGCAATTCCTTAAAATGACAGCATGTCTCTCTCTCAAATGGTTGATCAGTTTCTTTTCTTTTTAAAAGCTCTTATTGTGAATTGAGAACATCGGTTTTGCACTCAACCTACCGTACTTTGTTTCATTGCAATGATTACAATCCCCACCATGCATCATCATTTAACAGTATTTGCGTCTATTCACTTTTTTGGGGGTAGGGTGGGGAATGAACACAAAAACAAGCAGGAATATATAATCATTTAAACACTCAAAGGGCACATTATGCAAGTCTGCCTTCTGGCTGCCAGCACCTGGCCGCCAGCACACAGCCTTTCTCTTTCCATGAGTCTGGAGTCCTCAGCTGCTCTACCTCTCTATCCCATCATCTCTGCCTCCATCTCTGGTGTCGCTGCTTCTCTGAATAACGTCCCACATTCCACTTATGCTCTTCTCCCTTGATGGTCCTAGGGTTCTCTGTTCCTAGAAAGTAAGATGAACTATTCCCCCCTTTTTGTTACAATACTTCTACATTTACTGTTGTGACAATCACAATTAGTCATGAATAACAATTACTCACTACTGAATCAAATGAATCCTATTCCCATCTCCGTTCACCAGACACAACTAGACAAGTTGAAAGCCATTCAGTGGGGATTCTGCCTTCCCCCGCACACTCTGAAACTTAACACTCTCTTGAAAACTTGTAAGCCAGTCACTTCCTGCCTTTAGAACCCACCCCAACCCACATTTTAGGTAGCAAATATCTAAGATGCCAGTCCCTATCAAGACTGTGTACAGAGGGGACAGGTTTGATACTTGCTATAAAGATTCCTTCCATCTCAGTTGGTATTTTGAGCTACTACATCCATACGTACAGGTCAAGTTAATCAAATTGTAGCAATTTACACTTGTTTCCTTTATCAAATTTCTTTACCTTCCTCTAGTTGAGTTCTGATCATCAAGCCATTAAAGCTCAGCCAAATGGGTACTATCTGCAAGTTTGGACATTCTTGGGCATCTCCACCTCAGTTCATATCAGCTGGACAGCTTCACTCTAAGCTCTAGCCCTCCATGGCTCAGGCGTTCCCAAGTCTGATTTGTTTAAAAATTGCAGTTCTGGATTATAAATCCTGAAACAAGAGTTCTCAGGAATTTCCAGTATCAGCAAACAAAATATCTTTAATACACAGGACACTTAGATTGTGAAATGTTCTCACATGGAAAAAGACAATATATATTCAGTATATGTTCTGACATGGTGTTCTCAAAGGAATGGCACTCATTTTACTCTGGGGAGCTGAAATACAATATAAATGTTCATTTAATTGATTAAAAAATGTATTGAGATCTTTAGTAACACAGAGAGATAAGAATTTCTGTGAGAATCTATGCAGAGTTTCTATTAAGTCTTTACATAAAGAGTCTTTTGAACTTCCCCCAGAGAGCCAAGGGGCATACACAGAGAAGTTTGCAATTGTTTTTTCCAGAACATACCTCAAATCGCCAGACAAGGAACTAACCCCCACTGCCACTTCATCACATCACTGTCTGACCTTGGACAAATCAGATGGCCCCAAGGTCACTGGGTAACACAGGAAAGTCTAATCACTAAAAATATTCCCAGCAGGAGGCCCCTCCATGTTGTTGCAGTGGGAACGTGTTCTGTTTTTCGAGGAAGTAAAGCCAAGTGTTAATGGGTGGTCTCTTGAACAACTTAAAAGCATTTTCTCTTGTAAAACAAGCCTTACCGAAAGCACCACTTGCACAATGAATGTTCTGGACCATGCATGGCTCCAAAGAGAAAGATGAAGAGCTATGCTGAGGACATCTTAAATTAAGAAGTAGTAGAATGGTGTGCTAAAGACAGCAAAAGGACTGGGTCCAGCTGCTTGGGTCCCAAGCCCTCACTAGCTGTGCTGCATGTTCCTTCCATGGGACTCAGTGTTTAAAATCTATAAAACTATGATAATATAAAGGAGCTCTAAAAAGCTTGTGAAAAATGTAATGAAAAGATACTGTAATTTTTTTCACTAACTTTTTGAAGCGCCTCGAATTAGTCCCTACTTCATCAAGTTATTTTAAGGATTGAAATAAATAATTTGTTGGTGTTGTTAAGTGCCGTTGAGTCAGTTCCGACCCGCAGCGACATTGTATCGGGTTTCCAAGGAGTGACTGGTGAGCTTGAACTGCCGACTTTGTGGTTCAAACTGACTTCGCAGGCCAGCACATTAACCCCCAGTGCCACACCAGGACTCCTCGAAATAAATAATAGTGACAATAAAAAACTCAATCTACATCTATTCTCAGACATATTGGTGAGTGTTTTCTCACTTTGATGAGGAATGAAACAGAAGTCTTCTGGGAAAAGTGAGCATGTTCATGTTTTTTAGAGGTTTCAGGAGACACTTCTGGGCTCTTACCTGTCACAGCTGGAGCACAGGAAGATGAGGAAGGTGATGAGGAAGAAGGTGGCCATGGCTGCTAGACTTCCCCACAGGACTATCTGCAACTGCCCGCTGCTGCTCAGCAAGCTCCCAGCAGGTCCCATGGTGAAGCCAGGAAGCTATGAATAGCTGCGGAGAGTAAGTCAGGTCCTCAAAGGCGTCAACATTGGGGTCGAAGTGCTTGTCTTCCTGCAGAGAAAACAGCATTTTTGAAACAATTTCCAATGGAAAGTTCCCAAATCTTGTCACTGGATTCAAGTCAGTGGGTGGAGATTTGGGCATACGACGGAGGTGGACCTGCAGGTACACAGAAGAGAGCTCTGGACCGGATCCGAAACACAGCCTGGGCAAGGTCCTTGTTCTCAGGGCCCATAGAATGTCAGGTGGGCAGCCCAATGCCGTGTTTGAAGCAACGGATGCTATATTACTAGTTAATATCTTTTAGGGCTGTATTCTTGATGGGAATTTCAAATCAAGCAAGACTCCAAGTATTGTATCACAAATAAACACTTGGATTTAATAAAAAAAATAAAACAACAACAACAACAACAAAAGAAACAGCAGTATGCAACACTAGTGAGATAGGCATCCCATAGGATGGTCAGAGATTCTAGGCATATCATAGATTCAAGGCATACCATAGGATGGTCAGTCATTCAAGATGAAAAGGGCAGCATTTACTTCAGGACAAAATTCTGAAGGTTAGAAAGGGCAGGATGGAAACAAAACACAAAGGGAGGAAGTAGAAAGTGATGGAACATGGAGGGGTTTGCAATTATTAAGATGAAATGAAGTGTATGATTTGTTGAATGTAAAACTGACAGTTTTCTCTGTAAACCTTCACTCAATTCTTACATAAAAAATTAAAAAAAAAATGTTGACAGATTTAACAGAAAAACAACAGAGCAGTCTAAAGTATTTCTTACAGCTTTCTCAAATATACAACTAATTATCTGCCCTGCCTTCCCACCCTATGCCCCTACCCTCTACTTTTATACAAGATTGTTTAAGGTCACTTCAACCAAGAAAACACACTATTTTTATATTCATCGGCGTAAACATTTATCAAGGAGCCCTGGTAGAACAATGGTTAAACTCCTGGTGGCTAACAAAAAGGTAGTTCAACCCTGTCCAACAGCTCCTCGGAAGAAGACTTGCTGACCTGCACACGTAAAGAAGCTAACAAAATACTAGGGAGCAGTTCTCTGTCACACGAGTTTGCTAGGAGTTGAAATTGATTTGAAGGCATCTAACAACATTTATTCACTCTGAACACGTAACTTTATTTTCAAGGCCAATTTCCACTCAGCTTCTGTGAACACCCAATAAATAATGTGCAAATGAAGAGATGAATGTATTTTGAATATATCATTAGTAAATCAAACCTAGACATATATGTTATTGTTAGGTGCCGCTGAGTTGAGTATGGCTTATAGCAATCCTGTATGGCATGGGTGGGGAATGTTTGGCCCGCTGGCTGTATAAGGCCCAAGAAATCATTTGGTCTGACCTTGCTAAACCAACCACAGTTCCAACCATCACATTGTTGTTAAGTGCCATCAAGTCGACTCTGACTCATAATGACCCTGTACAGGATTTTTGAGGAGCAGCTAGTGGGTTTGAACTGCCGACCCTGTGGTTTGCAGTCCAGTACCATACATGGAGACTCCAAAAAACTGCTGTAACACATGCTGTAACACATGAGGTCACATTACTCAAGATAATACTTACTTTAGGTTGAGTACTGTGGTATAGTAAATTGTCTAATGTTTTTTCTAACCATAGCTTCTAACCAACATTTCTGCCCTGCAGAGTGGGGTACCTCTAGGCACTTTATGTCCTGTGGGCATTTATCAGCAGTCCTAAAAGAGGTTTGTCGCTTCCGCTGGGCAGAGAGAGGCCTGTCTGTGGGCACAGCTGAAGAGAGACTGTCCTGACTGGAAGAAATGGGTCCTGAGCATTTTCTGATTGTGCATTGCAAACTGCTAACTTCCCTAATGAACCCCATAGTGATGAGAATGCTGTCTGAGACCTGTGTGGCCCAGATGAGAGTGTTGTGGGAGGAGGGATGGTGGGGATGGTGGGGGTGGTGGTTCTGTGCTGTGAAGTTGGTTTTGCCATATTTTTACATGTAACTTCCCCAAGGTGTCGCTGTTGCTGGGTAGGGAAGCAGAGGGAGGATGTGAGTCCAGTTGCCTGACTCCCAAACTCTCAGCCTCCAGATGGAGCAGTTACTGGATTCTTCTGCTTCATTTTTAACTACAAGGCTTCTAAAGAAAAATGGTGAGGTTACTTTTGTAAAGTATTTCAAGAGTTAAAGTTCTTTTGATAGAGTGGTAGATAGCAAAGTACTTAACAGCTATCTGTCTTCCACGAGGCCTTGTTTAAATAGCATTTGCTGTGTTCAATTCTAGAACATTCAAATTTAAAACTAACAGGTTTTCATTTAATCTCAAATTGTATGAATGAGGTGAGCAAATACATATTTTTGTCATATCCTAATGAACCCAAACTAAAAACTATTTATTTCTTTAAAAAGACTGTCAATGTTTACATTTTCATTGGCTTCACTGATGTTTTTGTTGTTGTGAAGTGCCATCGAGTCGATTCTGACCCTTAGTGACCCTGTATAGGGTTTCCGAGGAGCAGCTGGTGAGCTTGAACCACCAACCTTGTAGTTCAAACGGCTTTGCAGTCTGACGTATTTACCGATAAGCTACAGCAATATTTAGCCATTACCAAGTGCTGGAGTTATGGCAGCATGATGTGGCTACTGGCAGAGTTGAGTGCACTGCTAAGGGGGGAAATAAAAGCCTTCTTCACATGGCAGTGCGACTGGGCTACACTTTCTCCAGGTGAAACACTGTGATGTTTATTTGAACACTCAAGGTTAAAGAAAAATACAAAGCTAAAGAAAAGGAAACATTTATCTCCAGTGGGTCCAGAGAGAATTCTGGATAAAGAGATTGTTTTCAAAAGTCTTTGAACCAACACAAATACTTCCTTTTATACAACTATAAATAATATCGATGTACAACTTCCCCCCATGTAATATGGAACATCTTTCTATGTCTGACTGACTGTACATTATGCTTGTAAATACCACATTCTATTTTTTTTACCATAATAGAGGGTTAAATTACTTTTGTATGTTCACCCCAGGAGAGCTATAACTAAATGAAAATAGCTTCTCTTACAATTTGTTGATGGCAAAGAGTCACTTTAAACTAAAACTACAAATTGGCACCATGACAGTATATTAAAATATATTCACGCAAGCACTAAATTCACAGTGACTTGTATAAGTGTATGAAATTAAAGTCTAAGTTGTGGTAGAAAGCATAAAGCATGTAAGGAAGCACGGACAAAAGCTATCTATCCCATGTACATATTGGTGCATTCATCATTCATTCAATAGATTTAATCAATGCCTATTTGTAAGTGCCAAGTTCTTAGGTAATAATTGTAAGAGTTACTAAAGGCCAGAGGACCATCCAGCAAACCTAGCATAGAACTTTTATTTACTCTCTTCATTTCTGTATAGTGTCTCTTTTTTTTTCCTTTCTTTTTCTCTGAATGAGGGAGGCCAACAGAATATAATGGAATATGTGGTGTGCCTACATTACTAAGATGGTGCAGGGGGAAACAGGATAAAAGGGGCTTATTACATACTACTGAATAAAGGATACAATTCATCAAAAATGTGCCAAAACTCCTGGCTCACTCCCTTCAACTAGAAGGTTCTGAAAAACTGAGAAACAAAACAAAAAACCAGCTTTTTTCCAGACATTCTTTCCATGAACAAAATTCTCATAATGAAAAGAATTATCTGGTACATTTTCCTGAGTCACCTATAGTGTAATCGCTAAGGACAAGTGAAATGGTCCAATTGTTGGGGTAGCTCCCTTTTCTCAGAAAATTTACGCACCAACTACTAGAGCCAGTGATGATGAATTTGAAGAATTCTATCAACTTCTTCAGTCTGAAATTGGTCAAACATGGAATCAAAATGCATTGATAATTACTGTTGATCGGAATGCAAAGGTTGGAAATAAATAGGAATGATGATCAGTGGTTGGAAAATATGGCCTTGATGATAGAAACGATGACAGAGATCCCATGATTCAACTTTGTAAGAATAATAATTTCACTTCAAATACCTTTTCTAAAGAACATAAAATACAACTATACACATGGACCTCATCAGATGGAATACACAGAAATCAAATTGACTACATCTGTGGAAAGAGATGGTGGAAAAGCTCCATATCACCAGCCAAAATAAAACCATGGGCAGACTGTGCAACAGACCATCAATTACTCATATGCAAGTTTAAGAAGAAAATGAAAACAAGTCCACATGAGCCAAAAATGACATTGAGCATAACCCATTAGACAATAAAGAATTGTGGAATGACATCAAAAACATTATACAGGAAGAAAGCAAAAGGTTATTAAGAAAAGGAAGAGGGAAAAGACCAAAATGGATGTTAGAAAAAACCTGAAACTTGCTCTCCAGTCTAGAGATACTAAAGCAAATGGAAGGAATAAGAAGGTAAAAGAACTCAATAGGAAATTTCAAAGGTCAGCTCAAGAAGACAAAGTCAAATATTATAGCAAAATGTGCAAAGAAAGACCTTGAGTTGGAAAACCAAAAGTGAAGAAGACACTCCACATTTCTCAAGCTGAGGAAACTGAAGAAAAAATTCAAATCTCGACTTAAAATATTGAAGGAGACTATGGGTAAAATATTGAATGATACAGTGTATCAAAAAAAGATGGAGGGAATACACAGAGTCACTGTACCAAAGAGATGTGAAAACGGATTGCAGAAGTCATCAGACAATATCATTAGTGTCTCATGCAAGTAATATTTTGCTAAAGATAATCCCCAAATGGCTGCAAACGTACATTGACAGAGAATTGCCAGAGGTTCAAGTTGGATTCAGATGAGGACGCGGAGTGAGGGATATCATTGCTGATGTTAGATGGACCTTGGCTGAAAGCAGAGAATACCAGAAAGATGTTTACCTGTGATTTACTGGCTACACACAGGCTTTTGAGTGTGTGGATCATCACAAACTATAGACAACATTACAGAGAA